CATGTTAAGTACCAAATTATTTTGACAAAAGCTTGCTAAAGGAAACATGGCATCATCAGGGTCAAATATGTCTGTAAATACAACTGGGTCAATTAGTTGGTTGGCTACCTTTAAGTTCATGCCATTAGGAGAGCATGGGATGCATGGAAACTTTTTTATTTTGCTTTTGACATTCTCATAATCATCTGAATCTATTTGCTCTGACATGGCAATAGCTAATAACATACGGAATATAACTTGATTGCGAATTTGTATGTGTTCATCAAATAATATTATATTAGATAAAAAACACCTAGTAAAATTATCTTCATTAAGAACATGTAGGCTATCATTTAACATCTTCAACTGCTGCATATGGCCAGGCGGTAAAGAAACTACTGGTAATTGAAGAATACAAAGAGCCTCTTCAGGAAAGGAATACTTACCATCTATTGAGAATAACTGTGAAGGAATAAAACTAGACTGCTTTAGTGTCTGCCATTTATTTAATGAAGCTGAGTAGAAGAGCTCTTTTTCTGATAACAGCTTTATCAAGCCAGCAACAAGAAAAACCCATGGATATTTCATGTGTAGATTTGTAGCAAGTGGCCACAACATATGGAACTCATAGTCAAGTAAAGTTCCAGAGCAGTGCATTGCTTGCAATTTTTGAAGTAATTTGCAATAAGCTTCCGGTATAGTTTTTTCCATTAGGTTTTTGTTCCATCGTTCTTTTGAATCAGTAACTGTACCTGATGAAACTTCAGTCCAAATACCACTTCTGTTACTCATAACAGCAAAATTAGCACTGACATGTACTGGTAAGCCAGTACTAGGCAATGCTAATGGCAAAAAACAAAATGCATTTCCTTCTGTTTCCTTACAGTTATAACAATTTGTGTTGGTTCTATCAAGTTGACATGCTACAGAAGCCACAGCTGGTTCTATGTTATTCTGGTATCGCCACTGCTCTTCTTGACTAGCTATTAACCAATGTTCAGTACCACTTCCATTATGTGGTGACTTGATCACAACTTCGTGAATATCATCATTACTACTGCTACTAACATCAATTGAGACTTCAATGATTTTCTCATTGCCTCTCAGTGAACTAAATGTGATGCGCTTCACGTGCTGCAAAAAGAGCAATAATTTAGAACCACACTCAATTAAATCTCTTTTTATATCTTCTACAAGATGTTCATTGTAAACTGTAGAACTAATCTGACTGGAACTTGTTCTAAAAGGAAACCTGAACATTGTCCCTTCATAGTCTGATAAAGAACTGAAGCCAAATAAACCTTCATAAGGCACCAAATCCTGACAATTAGAAAAAATCCTTGACTGCTGGTACTTTATTTTTTTACCAGGTTTGCTTTGATCATGGACTACACCTTTCAGGAATTGAAGTGTTGGATCAAATATATACAACCACTTGCCACTAACAAAGGAAGGTACATCAGTGATGTGATACACTGAACAAAAACCAATACCAAATTTACCAATTTTAAGTGGCTGGTTAGCTTTAGTAGCACCAGCCAGTTTGGTTATGTTTTCAAAGTCTTCTTTAGTAAAACTACCATTGTTGTGTACTATCAATGCTGGACCATGACTATCTGCCATTCCTTTAAGTATTAAATTTTTAGTTGAATGTGTTCGATTGTCGTATAATATATTGACTTCAGTTGCCCCAGCATCATCAGCATTTTGAATCATCTCCTTTATAATAGTCAAACCATCTTTATATTCTTTTAGAATATTTCTAAGACGAGTTGTTATTGGTTCATGTTGACCAGCATCTTCAAATATATCTTCAGTTATGTTAAGTTGATCACTTAGTGGAGCTATTCCCAGCTCTGCTGACAAATGAGACACTTTGGGATGTATTAGATGATACTCCTCACCCGAAGCATTAGCAATATTACAAAGCACTTCATTATTGGTATAGGATACCTCTTGAACAGGAATAAGATTAGGAAAAAAGGACTTACTCTCAACTGGTACAAGAACATCGCCGTCACCAATTCTATTGATATCTTCTGCTAGCCATTCTAGTATAGCTGTGACTATTGTCCAAGCTTTTGTAGCAGTTATTTGATCATGAGTAGCAGATTTTATTGAATGAAGAATGCCAAAAATCTGTTGAGGTGTTACTTGATGATTTATGCCAAGTAAGGAAAAGATATCTGCAAAATCTGACAAATTACTTGGTAATACATAAACAAATGGTTCCAAATTTGCTTCAAAGGTAGGATTAGCTTCTATTGCTATTTGCTGTGGGCTTAAAAACTTGTTTTCAATAAATACCCAATTATCAAAAGCAGCAAAAGTATTTGCACTGCAAAACAGTTTATTCTTTTTTAAATAGGTATATGTTTCGATGGAAATTTTTGATAAAAGATTTTTATGTATTTTATGTTCATTCTTAATTACCTCATTAAAATGAGATGCAATGGCTGTTATTAGAGCTTGAGATCTTCCCAGTTGCTCCATGAGTTGAACTGGAACTCCTTGAACAAAAAAGGCTTGAGAGCCTGCTATTAATGGTAAATGAGATGAAGCAAGGTCTTCTGATACTAACATCAATGGATTAGCAATAGATTTAGCTGAAGCTAAACAAAACTGATACTTTGAGCCTTTCCACTCTAAACAGGAAGGATATTCATGAGGATGTTTACTTGCTACTGGTAGCCAACAGGACTGTGCATTGAGCTTTTTTAATGCAACTAATAGTGAGTCTGAATTTGTGGATACTTTCTGACTCAATTCATCAGGAAATGATGATAAATATTGCAAAACTGCCATGGCTTTTGAATATGATACGCTACTGGTTTGTGCAATGCCAGCTGTGGATTGCAAGCAAATAGAGTTGACTATTTGAAAAATTTCACTAGCATTTACAAATGATTTTAAGCCACATTCTCGTAAAATAGGCAAATAAGGTTTAAATTCTGCCCCAGGAAATTTATCTTCACCACTGAATAATTTTACAAGAAACTCATTTTCAGGATCATACAGGTTACATGGTGTCTTAAATGCTCCCAATAATGCAGTTTTAATAAATGGCAAATCTCTTAAAGCACCAGTAATATGCTGCTTAT